AGCTGGGCGACCTGAAGGGTCTCCTGCAGCAGCTGACCGGGGAGAAGGCCCGCGCAGCTCTGGAGCACGATCACCTGGAGGAGGACATCCAGCACATGAGGGCCAGGCTGGAGGATGAGGCGCGTAACCGGGAAGAGTTGGAGGCTGCCGCTCGCGCCATGAAAAAGTATGTGGAGGAGTGCCGGCTGGCGCGACTGGAGCTGGACAAGAAGCTCCGTGCCCTGGAGGAGGAGGACGCTTTCCTCAAGAAGAACCACGAGGAGGAGGTGGCCGAGCTCCTCGCGCAGATTCAGGGCGCGCAGGTGAGCTATGATATGCGAGACACGCTGAAGGCGGACGTCACCGGCGCACTGCGAGAGATCCGCGCACAGCTGGACACTCACGCATCCAAGAGCTCAACGCACGCGGAGAATTGGTTCAAAGGTGAGTTTAAAAAAGGTGAAAAGAGGAAGAAGGAGTGTTTCAAATCTTTTCTTTTATTTAAGTCACAGAGCGGTGTAGTGCTGGTTCTCTGTCGGCGGTGCTGAAAGTCTGCAGTCACACCTCTGGGTTTATATCAACGGGTTATTATTGTAGCCCTTATGATAATGTATGAGATGACTTAGCAGTAACCTTAATTTGCAGTATGTTGCTCGACATATCAGGGTTGCAAGGGCCACTTATTTCTCGATATATAAGACATTGCAGATTGACAGATCGTTTACCCACCAACCTACCAGATCCTAAACTTTAACAAAATGGCTGAGGTTTGAGTCAAGGCATATTACCTCAACAGAAAAATCAAGACTGAACTAATATGACCTCGAGTTAAGGTGGTGCGGCTTTCTGTGGGTGTGTCTTGTCGCAGAATGATCATTTTTACTTAAAGCAAGTACTGCAGGAGTGAGATGGCACCCTGAGAGGAGACTATTATTCATTTGCACTCTCTCTGTGGGTAACAGTGGGTGTGTTCTTGTTCGTGCCTCATGTGCACTGTGTGTGTCTCTCACCCTGAACCTGAACCTCTTCAAACACAATGGTCGTTTCAAGGTCACTGTTCAGCCCAGACAGATTCAGAGTCCCCCTTTCTGATGTTGTAACTGGAGTTAACTAAGGACATGTAAGTAAGGCATACATGTAGATATCATAAATATAGACTTGCTAAGGCGTGGCAGTAACTGAGACCTCCTCACAATTATATTGCAAGAAGATGCAAGATCGGACGCACACAGAGCTGCTGACCTTTGTGGTACAACACAAATACACAATCGGCAACTTTTAAGGCCTAGAAGAGATTTATCTGAAGAGCAGCTCAACTGCATGTCACAGAACTTAATGATCTATAGGTGGCCCTTGCTGTATATCTGCATGCTGACTTGATATAACCAGTGAAAGGTGCAAACAGAATGACCTTCCCTGTGTGGTGTCCAGCTGACTGCAGCAGTGTGGCTCATTCATGCTTGGAAGAGGGAGGGAGCTGAGTCAGACCACTGACTGACAGATGGACACTTTCAAGGTTACTCAGGCTCCCAGTGGTGGCTGTCTGCTCTTCGAGGTCTTGTGGACAGAGGGCAGGTCAAGTGTCTCAGGACCAAGATAAAACAACAGTGCATGCATATGGATGGATTCCTCTGTCTGTCAGGATATTCAGGTCCCGTCAGACTCTTTTGGGCCAGTCAATGGTGTGACACAGCAAATGTGATCCCTAAATCATATATGGTGTGACACAGCAAATGTGATCCCTAAATCATATAAATCCTTCTGTATATCTTTTCTGCAGTGCGTATGGAGCGCCTGTCTGACGCTGCTAGGTCTAACCAGGATGCCATTCGTGGAACCCAGGAGGAGATCGGAGAGTACCGCCGCCAGCTCCAGAGCCGCACTATTGAGCTGGAGACTCTTCGAGGAACCAAGGACTCGCTGGAGAGGCAGCGAATGGAGAGTGAAGACAGACACCATGATGACCTCAACTCACTACAGGCAGGAAATCAACACAAACATCTCGCTCATCTTTCATGCCAGGAATGCACATTCATTGCACATATATCCTGTCACACCATTGGCATCATGTTTGACCTGTGAGGCTGTGTTTTATCATTTTGCAGGAGACCATCAACCAGCTGGACAATGAGCTGAAAACCACCAAATGGGAGATGGCCAGCCAGTTGAAAGACTACCAGGAGCTGCTGAATGTGAAGATGGCCCTAGATATTGAGATTGCTGCTTATAGGTTGGTCAGGGTTTAAAACCCACACATAATTACACTGATATTGACATTTTCAAAAGTTTTTGTCAAATTTAAATGTTATCGACATTTTCCCTGACTCTCTGTCTTTGTCTCTAAAACAGGAAGTTACTGGAGGGAGAGGAGAATCGCTTTGTGTCAGGAGGAAGTCCGTACTCTTACCTGGAAAGCAGATTCTCTACCCACTTCAAAGTGAAAGCAGAGGAGATCTCAGACACAGTCATCCTGGAGGAACAGACAGATGAGACCCAGGTGACAGAGGTGACAGAGGAGGGAGAGGAGGAGGAAGAGGCGGAAAAGAAAGAAGAAGAAGTAGAAGAGGCAGAAGAGGGAAAAGAGGAAGGTGAGGAAACCAAAGAAGAGGAGGGAGAAGGTGAGGAAGGTGAAGACAAGGAGGAGGAAGCTGGGGCAGAAGAAGAGAAGGAAGAAGAAAAGGGAGAGGAGGAGAAGGATGAGGAGGCCGAGGAGAAGGGAGAGGAAGAGGAGGCTGGTGAGGAGGAAGAGAAGTCCAAATCTCCAGAAAAGGCTGCATCCCCTCCTTCTAAATCCCCTCAGCCTAAATCTCCTGCTGTCAAATCACCAGAATCTAAATCACCGGAATCTAAATCACCTGCAGTCAAATCCCCGGTGCCCAAATCACCCGCCAAGTCACCTCCAGCCAAATCCCCTGCAGGAGATGATTCAAAGTCACCTGCACCAAAGTCACCTGTGTCAAAGTCCCCACCTAGCAAATCCCCTGAATCTAAATCCCCTCCTCCCAAGACCCCTGAGCCAAAGTCTCCAGAAAAAGAGAAGGCCAAGCCTGTAGACACCCCTAAAGAGGAGAAAAAAGAGGAGAAGCCTCAGCCTGTCAAGGAGGAAAAGAAGGAGAAAGAGCAACCCGTGAAGGAGGAGAAGAAGCCAGAGCCCAAGGAGAAGGAAGACAAGCCTGATACGAAGAAAGAAAGCAAGGCCGATGACACCACAAAACCTGCTGCTCCAAGCAAGGAGGACAAACCTGCCCCCAAGCCTGAGCCTAAAGAGAGCGCTCCCCCTGCCAAGGAGGAGAAACCCTCTGCTCCTAAACCGGAGAAAGCCGAGCCCGAGGCAAAGCCTGCCCCTAAAGCAGAGCCTGAGAAAACCGAGGGCAAGAAGGAGGAGAAGAAGCCAGAGGAGAAGCCTGCACCCAAAGCCGAACCCGAGAAAACAGAAAGCAAGAAAGAGGAGAAGAAGCCAGAGGAGAAAAAGGATACAAGTAAGGAGGTGAAGGAAGAAGGGAAGGCAGAGAAAGTGGAGAAATCTTCTGGCACTGAGTCAAAGGAGAGCAAGGAGGAGAAGGCCAAGAAGTAAGACTGACAAGCTGTGATTCAGGGCACGAGAGGAGGAGGTGGAGATGCCAAAGAACTATGAGGGAGTAAAGAGCAGGAGAAAGCAGCCTGGCACTTGAATGTCCAAAGCAAAGCAGGTGACAGTATGTAAGCAATAGTGTTTTCTGTAGCAAATAATCCCCTGCTCCCTAGGTATGGCCATTACACACACCCCGATGCTTCTGATGTATGACTGTAGTGAATGCAGAATGCTCTCAACTCTTTATCTGAATGTGACAACTGCCCTTAATAAATAACAAGTGCATTTAAATCGAATCCCGCTGACGGGGACCGCAGGGGCCTGCTGTACCTACACGAGCCTTCAAGGGTAGAGATGTCAAAATAATGTCAAGCTAAAGATTGTGACAGATATCAAATATAAAAATGTATATTTAAGTAGATACAAATGTCTATTATATTTACAGATACATGAATAGGAAAGACTTGAATATGCTTGTTGTGCACCTTAACGCAGCTTCTCCTGACAGGTGAACTGCAGTGTCTCACTCTTTTGGTCTGCAATGCTAGGACAATGATGACTGTGCTATGTATAAACTGCTCAGAATATGCAATATGAAACAGATAAATAAAGAATGAGAAATCAAACACAAAAGGGCTCCTGGGGATTTTCTTCATCTTTTTAACACCACACATCAATATCTTATTGACCTTAAGTGAAGTCTTATGAAGGAGAAGTGTCAGGAGTGATCATACGAGGTGTGAGGCCCGAACGTAAATGCTGCCAGTAACTGCACTGCATTGCGGCTAAGGAGAGAGGGAGCTGTACCCACCCACGGCAGCCAGCACACCCTTCCTCACATCCCAGAGACCACGCTCATGTTTAAATCAGGAGAAGTGCTGCTTGCTTGCTTGCACAGAACAGACTCAATTTCCCTCTAATTTCCAAGCTCTGGCTTACTGCGAAAAGCAGAGTTCACACACTGAAGCAGAGGTTTTTATAATCCTTTCACACTCCCTACATTTATATCATTATTATTAGTTCCTTTATCATTACTTATGTAATAGGGGGGATATAATGAGTTAAGATTAATACAGAACCTAATTTCACTTTACAACATTAATGAAGAAATACAAATCTTTGTCACGACTTAGAGTATTCAAGCTATTCATAGATTTCTATCTTTCACAGAAAAGGTGTATCTAAATATTTAATAGGATTTGCTAATGAGTGCAGCAGCCATTGAGAAAAGCCATCCATGTCTATTAAAAGCGGCTAACGGCTGAATTAAAGCCATTGACAAAGCTCTTTTTTTATGGATACGACACTGACATTGGACACACTTCAGTTGACATTGGAAGGATTTCTCTCCTGGCACGATTTCAGTGTTCCCTTCAATGCAATCTCATTGCATCCAATAGATGTCTTTGCATTAATGGGATCATCAACCACATCATAAAGTACACAACAGGTGGATGTTTTCTTTTGCTCGTCATTGCATTTCAATAGCAAGTTTTCCTGCAATGCTACATTTAAAATCCATTTTTACAACAGTTGTGGAGTCACTCACTCAACTCATTTTGTTTGGGCCCTTTACTTATAATTGTAGTTTTCTTTTCCAATAAGTAAATATTACTCTTTTGTGTTTTGAGCCGATGTATCCCTGATTGCAGTCCTCCTTTCAACATTGAAAATATTTGGACTCACTTCTAAAATAGTAATTACTCCCACTGGCCTAGTCTTCTCCTTCTAATTATATACACCCTTGTTCAGAAATCTAAGAGGCATTAATGTCTGGATTAGGTTACATCCCACTGGATTAACATTCCAATGCGCAAGAGAACAAAAATAATATTCATGCCAAAAACTACATACTTCTGTAAACTGCTAATATCTAATCATAAAATGAGAAATCCTTGATGGAATTGGCGTCAGTATCATGAATACCAACCTGTTTATCTTCTATTACAGCTTCCAGGATGATAAATGAAAGGTCAAAGGCTAACAATACACCAAATATCATATTCCATGGACAGAATTCTCTGGGGAAATGACTCAGCTCGCTGTAGCATTGAACCACAATGGCGTAATAATCAGGTAGTGCAGATGACAACTATAAATAGAGCAGCACAGGGAGAGGTGAAGGTAGGGAGGAAGGCAGAGAGATTAAACAGAAACATCTGGAATGCACAACAAAGCATGGATGCAAGAGAGCCTTAAATAGACCAGATACACAATCATTCAAGAAAATTGTTTTTATTTTCAAACTGTTATAAAGACTTTTAAAAACGGCTACTTTGTGTGTCAAATAGTCACAATGGTAAGCTTGAGGGAGTTAAGAGATGTATGGTACAGTAGGGAGAATCGTATGGACAGATTTAGCGGTGACTGAAGAAGCCCTGAGGGTGGTTGTACTTGAATGGCTTCAGGCGATTTGGGCCCCTGAGAAAGAAAGAGAGATGTCAGAGATACAGTAAATCTACTCAGATAAAATGTCTTTAACCAAATGTGTGTAAAGACTTTACTAACTGCTTCTTGTGACTGCGTACCTGACTGTGCGCAAGCACATCTTTTCTCGGGGGAACTCCCGTGGTCCCTCCACGCCGTCGTCTTGTCCTTCAGTCTCCAAATACACGTCCAGGCAGACACACAGGCGTGAAATCTGATTGGTGAGGAGCTGGTGTCCTGGACGTGGTCCCTGTAGTTCATTTTTGAACACATTGACCTCACTCTCCATGGCCTAAAAAGAGGAACAGATGAATCAGTTAGAGCTCGACAAATATAGGCTCACAAAGAGCTTGTACAACAACAGAGCACTTATGGAAAAGTGTGATCAATACTGAAAAGTGCTCATACTCTGAGGTTGTCATCAGTGCGTCCACTGCGCTCTCCCTTCCAGCTGAGAAGGAGGGAGAAAAGGGGAGAGACTTCTGGGTAACGGGGGCTCAGCACCACGGCGGCGTTGAGACGAGCTGAGGAAGAAAAAGGTTGAGAGAGGTGGTTTATGAGAAACAAATATAAATCAAGTTATGTAATATTAACAAGTCTATCATCAGTGCTACAATTTACCTGTGCCCCTCTCCACCACACACATAAAGTAAAGATCGGTCTCCTTTGCCAGACCAGCATCAGTCACATGACGTGTATAAGGCAGATCCTACCGAGAAAGAGAAATATCACAATGAGACATGCGCTACATTTTTGGCTTTTAAATATCTGTGCATGTGCCTTTATATGTGTATACCATGTACTCCTCGTGGGTGATAGTGGTCCAACGGGCTAAATGGGACATGATCTTGGCAGGAAAGAGGTGCTGACACTCACTGGAGACCGGGATGATGCTGTGCTCTGAGGACACAAGCAGAAACAATCTCAGTCAAGATAATCTATGTCTTTGTTTAGGAGTATTTAATGTGTGGTCCTTAACATATAATACCTAAAGAGGCAAACTGCTTCTGCAAAGCCAAGCGGGACTGGACTCGACCCCTCAGCAGCTTAATGGTGCTCTCCATTTGGCTGGCACTCAAAGAACTGCCCACACGCACACCCTGGAAAAACAAGGGTGTATACCAACATGATCAGGTTGTAACACAAAGAAACTGTGCTCAGCTGGGATAATACTTGATCTCAACACGCACCTCTGAAGCATCACCAGGGAAATGTAGCCCTCCCAGACTCTGAACCCACACGTAAGGGTGGCCCAGCTCCTCCACATAATCAGCAAAGCAAACAATCCTAAAAGGGAATTATGGGTTAATCCAGTTGGAATTTTGTTACATTCAATGATGTGATACATAATTATCTGACATCCTCACCCGACTTTGTCAAACTGGTAGCGATTAGCTGGGTTGGGTGTTTCTCGCCCCTGGTCGCTGGTGTAGAGACAGCTGAGTAGAGTGTCTGATTTTAGCAGATCCCTGCAAATGAAGACTGTTATATTTTCCATTCAGCAACACAGAGAGGGGGACAAATGCAAACCCCCCCCCCCACACACACATACATACCCTGCACTGATGGCTGTGTTGAGGTCTGTGGAGGTGGAGACCTTAGTCTTGACTGTCATAATGTTCAGATTCATCAGGTAGTAGAAGTAGAGATGGAGCATGCTGCCATCTGTGGAGACATGAAGGATCATACCATGGTGATGAACTAATCCATTACTAGCTTTATTCAATACTCGCTCTACTCAAGTCTTTTCATTAATCCTCCCAGTGAACGTCCCCCGAGGGTTTACTTTACACTGCAGCGCATTAGAGAGCAATAACAGGGTGTGGCCCCGACGCTAGCTAGCTGCACCCTGGGGACGCATACTATGCTGATGGTCATCTTTAATGCTCCACTCTCAGCATTCACGGCGAACCCAGTGACACGCTGTCACTCACAGACACCTAGACTGCTCTTTTGCTTTTACTGCAGTAAACCGACTGTTGCAGCTGGCAGCAGTGAAGATAACTGGGGAGAGGGGAGGCAAGAGAAATAAAAGCAGGAGTTAGACAAAGACTGGTGATGAGGAAATATGCTTACAGCATGTGGTAGGTGCTGCAGATTCACGCTGCCGCAAGTGTCTCTCTCACCTCTCTCCCTCCTCCCCCTTTAGGTAGAGTTACGCCTGCAATGCAGATCTCTCTATAATCTGTCACTATTCCTTTTATTGCCAGCAGAGGGAACACGAGGGTCAAGTGGTGTCATGACATCATAGCAGAGTGGGTCACACTTACTTTCTTTCACATACTATCTGGTAGGTATAGAGTTACCACAATACACAGTATAGCTATGGTCACATTACAGGGAATGTAACACAGATGATTTGTAAATAGTTAGGCTTAAACGTGCTGTGTAAAGATCGGGAATGTGTCTGCCTGCACAAAATGCACAGGCGTATTTGGTGCAGACCCTAAACTTTTAAGTCATGAATAATATAGAGTGATTACCTTTACACTTGAGGTCCAAGCAGAGGGACAGGGGGTGCCTTTTCAGCATCTCTCGTCTTTTGTCATCCAGTTGGCCACCTGTGGTTGGCCTTCTCCTCTTCTGTCAAACAGACAATAAAAAGCAATGGAAACATGAGACGAAAAGAAAGAAAGCAAAACAGAGTGCATGCTTGACATTGTGGCATATCAAATAAGTTAGAAACACAGTTTGCATCAAATTCCAGCTGCTCACAGGAGAAACTTGATAGTCACTTAGCATCGCTAGCATTTTAACCATCTACTATTACAGATAAAGGGGCAGCGCGGCAGTTCAAAGGAAGGGCTGAAGTAGTAAAAGTAAAAATGTAAAAATGCCTGTAAAATGCCAAACAGAGGTTGCAACAAAATACAAAAAGTGTATTCTCAAATTGGTCATTTAGATATACATTTACTTCACATCTAGATAAACATCCGACAGACAGTCTGACAACAGTCCGACAACAAAAACGAGCACTGGTTTAGTGCTGAGTGTGCATGCCCGAGAAGGGCTCAGGTTACAGTCACCTAGCCATTCTTGGTCAAAATTTCCCAGAAACCTCCTCCTGGCACTCGTCCGGATGCAGGAAGCGATCGATAGCTGCCGCTCCCCGACCCTTCGGACCACAATGTGTGACAGCTAGGGCTTCAGGGATAGTTTGTGTGTCCGTTGCAGAGACGGGTATACTGAGGAATTGTTGAACTCCCTGACCGGTGTTGGTGGGTGGGTGTTGTGTGTGCGCGCAAGTGTGTATGTGTTTGGAGTAAAGCCAGGCCTGAGACTCACCGTTTTCTCTTGCTCCTCCTCTGCGTCTGAATCACTCTCATCATCTGGATGAAATCAGAATACATAATATTATTATTATGTTATTGCTTTTTTTTGTTATCTCACAACATCTTGAATATTAAAGATCCCCTCCAGGCATGTATAAAAACTGTCTGCTTGGAACAATAATGTGTGTCTAATTACTTTTTTTATGTAACAAAAAGTCTAATTTCCACATTTGAATCCTTAAAAAAGGCATCTACTCCTACTTCATTAAAAATGCCAGAATCTATGAATATGCAAACTTAGTTAATTTCTAGTGTTTTCCTGCTAGACACAAAATGTCTCCTACTTCA